TTGTTTTCGATAAGTAAACGAGAAACAACTGTTCAAAATATCCGGAAATATTCTATATATAAATGTTTGAAACGTCATTAGTAATTTTGAAATGCGTATAGTGCTAGAGAGAAAAGAATTAATTTTTGTAAATGATATTGACGAATCTGGTGGCTTGATACACTTTTATCAAACACCAGTTCTCTCTTTCAGGCTACCAGCATGCTATTGGTTGAACTACAGAACACAGAGTGACTAAAAGGTAAGAACACTCGATTTTGCTGGGGGATAAGGGAATTGATTTGCACCAAAAAGTCTCCGTCTGCTCTTTAATCTGTAGGATGACAGAGTGTGTGTACTCAACTGCCACGAGGATGATCTCTATTGTTTTATCGATTTCTTGTTCTCTAATCTATTTAAGATATTCAGAGTGAGCTTTCTGATTTTGATTACAGAGGAGTATGATGCTTACATCATAGTGTCCTTCGTGAATGCAACTCTTGTACTTAGTATTGGAGAAACTGTAGAAGAAGTGACTGATTCTGGTTTTCTTGGTACAACTCCAACGTTGAGTTGCTCCGCTCTGGGCGAAGATGCATTGGTCCAGGTAAAAAAATCAATCGACCATATATTAAATCTCTATAAATGCACTACGGTATCTCCGGCACCTGGTTTACCACGTGACGGTCGCAGTAACGAGTGCTAAATTAACACGGGTTCGTCGCATCGTTGAAATGTTTAGTTTCTATCTAAATACTTCTGGTACTAAGAGCTCGACACTATCATAAAACTCCTCTCCTGATCTCAATCATCCTTTTTACATAAATTTCAAGCAGTTCTGAATTTCATTTTTAGGTATACCCAGACGGAATACGCCATATTCGTGCGGACAAACGTGTTAACGAATGGAAAGCGCCTGGTAAAAAGACCATAGTCAAATGCGCGGTGAACCAGCGCCAAGTAGTAATTGCGTTGACCGGTGGAGAACTGGTTTACTTCGAAATGGATCCTGTATGTACTCCTTCATATTTTATCTTTCAATTCATTTTCATTTATGCATCGATTGTTCTCTCCGCGAGATCCGTACTCTCGGAGATGTAAAAGATGCGAAAATTATATCACTTGTTCATCTTACGTATAGTTAACTCTCAGTTAAAGTAGATGAAAAAGTGAACATTCCATCTGACATGCATTCCATTTTGATAACACCAATTGTCTTACATTTTAGACGGGACAATTAAATGAGTACACGGAACGAAAGAAAATGCCATCGGAAGTGATGTGCATGGCTCTCGGCAACGTGGCGATCGGGGAACAAAGATCATGGTTCCTGGCTGTTGGCCTTCAGGATAACACTGTCAGAATCATTTCGCTAGACCCATCGGATTGTCTAGCGCCGAGGAGTATGCAAGCTCTGCCCGCGGCCGCAGAAAGTTTATGCATCGTTGAAATGGGTGCGAAAGACGCTAATAGTTCTGAAGAATTGTCACCCCAACAATCTAGTTTATACTTAAATATAGGTGAGTCAAACTTTTGGAACGTTGATGTTCATTGTATTCCCAATGAGATGTAACATGCAATATATACATACTTCTATTTTCTGTAGGATTACAAAATGGTGTATTATTAAGAACAGTATTAGATCCCATCTCCGGGGATCTCGCGGACACGCGTACACGATACCTAGGATCTCGACCCGTTAAGCTATTTAGGATAAAAATGCAAGGGAACCAGGCGGTGCTCGCGATGAGCAGTAGATCGTGGTTAAGTTATTACTATCAGAATCGTTTCCACTTGACGCCGCTGTCCTACGAAAGCTTGGAATTCGCGTCGGGTTTCAGTTCCGAGCAATGTCCCGAGGGGATCGTCGCCATCTCGACGAACACGTTGAGAATCTTAGCTCTCGAGAAATTAGGCGCCGTGTTCAATCAGATCAGTTTCCCTCTGGAGTACACGCCGAGGAAGTTCGCCATTCACTCGGACTCCGCGCATTTGATCATTATTGAGACTGAACACAACGCGTACACGGAGGAAACGAAACAGCAGAGGAGATTGCAAATGGCGGAGGAGATGCAAGAAGCCGCGGGCGCCGAGGAGGCCGCCGTGGCGAGGGAACTGGCGGAAGCTTTCCTGTCGGAGGAGCCGAACGAAGCTGTGTTCGGCGCTCCGAGAGCTGGCCCGGGTTTATGGGCCTCGTTGATCAGAATAATCGCACCTACGACGGGACAGACGTTCGAAATTCATAGGCTCGAGCAGAATTTAGCTGCTTTGTGGTGAGAATTCAAGGTTTATGCATGCTTATACAGTGTGTACTGAAGAGATTGAGAAAATCTAATTTGTCAATTTAAATTACAGCCTGAGCCTCGTGAAATTCGCTAATCAGGGCGACCAGCTGTTTCTCATCGTTGGCGTTGCCAAGGAGTTCCAGTTGAACCCTAGAGTCAGCAGTGGAGGTTTCCTATACACATACAAGTAAGTATAATCCAAGTACATTTGAAAACTAGAACAAATTAATTCATATGATGACAAAAATACACAACTACTGTATCGTATGATGATATTCCTGCAGTACTGATTAAATACTTAAAGTAGAACTCAGTAATTCTTAAAGAGAAATAGATTTTTACATAGTCTCTTTCTTTCTCAGGGTGAACGCCGAATGCACCAGTCTCGAATTGGTTCACAAAACCAACCTGGACGAGGTACCATTGGCCATATGTCCTTATCAGGGTCGCGTGCTGGTCGGAGTTGGTAGAATGCTGCGTCTGTACGACATGGGCAAGAAGAAGCTGTTGCGCAAGTGTGAGAACAAGCATATTCCGAACGCGGTTGTATCCATCAACGCGATCGGCCAGCGAATTTATGTGAGCGACGTGCAGGAGTCAGTGTACGCGGTGAGGTACAAGCGCCAGGAGAATCAGTTGATCGTTTTCGCGGATGACACTCATCCAAGGTGGATCACGACCACTTGCGTATTGGACTACGACACTGTCGCCACCGCAGACAAATTTGGGAACATCGCTGTTGTACGTATTTGCCGTTTGTTCTTCAAGTATTTATGAATTGATCAAATTTGCAAGGTGATTAATTTTTAATGTCTGTCGACAGATACGCCTGGCAAGTGGAATCAACGACGACGTGGACGAGGACCCCACAGGGAATAAGGCTTTGTGGGACAGAGGTCTGCTGAACGGCGCCAGTCAGAAAGCGGACACCGTCGCCTGTTTCCACGTCGGCGAAACCGTCATGTCCCTGCAGAAGGCCACTCTGATTCCCGGCGGGTCGGAGAGTTTAGTGTACACGACGTTAAGTGGAACAGTGGGCGTCCTCGTTCCGTTCACGAGCCACGAGGACCACGACTTCTTCCAGCATTTAGAGATGCACATGCGCTCCGAGCATCCGCCCCTTTGCGGCAGGGATCACCTGTCGTTCAGATCGTATTATTATCCTGTAAAGAACGTCATCGACGGTGACCTCTGCGAACAGTTCAACTCGATCGAGCCAGCGAAACAGAAGAGCATATCTGGCGACCTCGAACGCACGCCGTCCGAAGTGTCGAAGAAACTCGAGGATATACGCACGCGCTACGCCTTTTAAGATCCTCGAAACATACTTATCAAATTCGTTCACAAATTACATTTATTCTGTTTGCATTCCGTTTCTGGTTCGACGACTTTTTAGTTGTTTCTTTTTTTCTTTGTTGTTGTACAACGATACAAGAACATTATCATCAAGTTGTTTGTAGAGGAATTACGCACATATTTTCAATGTACAAGTGTTGAAAGGAAATTCTATATAGTATATTCCGTACATCGTATGCAATAAACGGAAAGTGAATTTTTCTCGAGTAGCGTTGAAGGTGACCGTAGACGAAAGTTTATAATATAAGTACGAGAAGAGCGTTTATCGATAAATAAGGAAATGTATTTTTAAATTATCTAAGACATGTAAATTTTTACATCCCGAATGTTTCGTCGCGTTTGAATGTTTGTAGAGCAAATTCTCGATTTCTGAGGTAATGCGAAGCTAGTATTATTTCGCCGCGATTCTCCCTTGGATTCTATTTGTATATTCTGTTAAATGTATTTTATAAATTCTGATGAAACTGCGAGGCAGTATGCAATGCTGAATAAATACACATATAAATGCACTCTCGTTTAATTGCAATTGATTTACTCGGTGATATTATTTCTCTCGGGGCTCGTAAACACCGTGCTCGGTTAAATTTAATTTCTCCCGCTTTACGTTGTCCTCGTTATGCATTCTTAAGAAACGGCTATGGACGAACGGTAGATATATAGTCCAGAAAAAAATAGAAAATGTTTCATCGACCTATTTTAATATTATAAATACGACGCTCGTAAACCGTGCTGTACTCGATGAATATATAATATGCCGAGCTAAAAATGAGACTCGCGAACGATTGTTAACACCATGGAACACAGCGTGGAAATTCCACATTATTTATATATTTCTGTATTTACACTTTTCGATTCCCTTTCCATATAATTCTGCATAACGGATTTAAATCACAAATAAACTCATTTCCATAAAATATCAACTCACAATTTATTATAAAATAACCATGTAATTTCTTCAGAGATAAATGTAGATTACAGAATAAAAATCATAGAACCGTTACCATGGAAAAAACGTAAAATTTTAATTTTTGGTGTTACTAATCAAACTCCTTAACGACCGTTACGTTTATCCTTAATGCAGGAATGCTAATAAAAAATTCGAGGATCCACTACGCGCGAAGCTTTCATTGAGTTACACTCCTCATTTTTTGCTCGGATTCCGTGATCTCGTTTCTTCCCTCTATTACCGGTCTCGGCCTGTGTGCGCCTCTTCCGACCTACAATTCATCCCCTATAGCGGTCGGACGTGTTACGGCTCGCATTTTTCTCGTGAAGCTCCAAAGTGCGGTTAATCCGCGTACCGAAGCGTATCGAGGGTATCCGACGTTATTACCCTCGTTTAACCTTCAAACGTATTAACTGGGGTACGACAGATTTTAAACGCTCCGTCGTACGAAAAAAAATATATGACAATACCACTTAAGCCCATGCAAACAGCGCGACCGGTTGCATCGATGCCAGTAGAAATAATCGGCAATGGTCAGACGTTTAGTAGTCAGTATAAAAATATTCAAATCTCAATCATGCAAAAAGCGTAATTAATTTTTAGAGTATCGTTTGAATATTCATTTTCAAATATACATGTACATATATCACGTACATATATCAATCGTATTTTTAAGCTAATGTTAAATCGCATCTCGATTCAGCGTGCCAGTTTCATTTGATCGGCGAAGCGAAAGGAAGAGTACGATAATTAAAGTTGTTCCCGATTAAGAGCCATCGACGAGAGCATGAAAGATGCAGGAGGCTCGCGGTCGGTGACAAGTAAATTTTGATGTCGCGATCGGTAGTTACGTCACTGCAGTATACGTAGCACACGGGTTTAGGGCGTTGAAACGGAGAGAGAGAAAGACCGAACGTCGATCGATGCATTGAGGCGCCAGGCTCTGAGCTCAGCCCCGTTTCGTTCCATCACCCTTACCCCAGCACATGCCCTGCAGCGAAACAGCCCTCCGGGCTTTTCTCTTTTACCGTGCAGTTGCGCATCAACCTCTTCGCGGTGTGGAGCTGCGTGCCGTTCCGTTCGGTTACCGGAGCGTTCCAGTCTCGCTGCGACGGTCCCCCCTTCGAATCCCTTCTTCGCACCGTTTCGCCGAATTCGATTCCGCTCGGGACCCACCGAAAGAAGACGCCGATCGACATGTCCGTCTCGAGCTCGTCGCGGTTCCGCCGGGGGTAACAGTGTTGATCGCCGGTGCCGCTTCGTTGTCGTAATTATGTCGGTTGCGTCGCTCGTCGACGAACATCATTCCGACGGACTTCCGGGAAACACTGTCCCCCGAGAATAAAGCCGCTGGCGTTTAGCGAATGACATCGATTTCGACTGCGTCCTCGAGCTTGCTGTTGTGATGGTCGATTCAATGACAGATGATTATGGTAAATCCCCTGTTATCTCCTTTCGGAATCTTGTGTGCGCCCCGACTTAAAGATTCATACGCTTTTGACATACATTCCGGGAACTCGAGATACCCTCTTCGTCGTAATAATTAGTTTCGTGGGACAATGCGATGTATTCGGCGAGCAGCTATTGTCGGAAAATCGAGTCACATGTCGGGAATAAGGTGACATTTTTTAAATTCATTGTTTTATGATAGTTGTCTCTCTTGTGAGAATGTTCTTACTGGAAACGAGACTAAAGGAAATTCGTGTGTCTTCAATTGGGAAAATTAAGATTAATATTTAAGTATTGAGGATTCTTGTGGAGAAGTATGAAAATTGTATCTGATAGAAACAGCTCGGAGATGAGTATTTGTATGGACGTGTTTATTTTCGTGACGATTTTCCGAGATTCGTGTTTGCAAACAGAGGAGTTAAACCTGTTAGATGGGATGAAACATGTTTCACGCGTCGAGAGTATCGTGTAAATATAGACGCGATAAAAATGTGATTGACCACTTCGAGAATTGAAGCGCCTTGTTGACCAATATTTACATACGTGTGCACCTATGCACATTGATTACTTCCCGCTTTCGTTGCTGTATGTTACATTTTAGTTGATCATGTTTTAAAGTTGTAAGAACAATATAATATTATGTTTTTCATACTTCGTTGTTTCAGAATTAATATAAAGTTATTTAATCAAGGTTTCTTCACTTTATAGGAGGTAGCTGATGCTGGAGGTGGCTACAAGCGAATTCAAGTAACAGCTCTGGTTTTGTTGGTAGTATTATCTGGTTGGATTGACCATGCAGCGGGTGGTGATTGTGGTCTGGACGAATTAACTTGCAGAGATGGACATTGCGTACCGATAGATGCATATTGTAATGGACAAGATGATTGTGGAGATAATAGCGATGAACCAACAATGTGTACTCCTTGCAATCGTACCTATCATGGTCGGGAAGGACGTACATACAAGTTAGATCTTCCACGACCCGCAGAGGAACGTCTACCATTTCTTTGTCATTTAACATTTACCGCTGCTGGACAGGGGTATGGAGAATTGGTACAACTTTTGTGGGATGCATTTAGCGTAGGTAAAATAGATCCAAACAGTGATAGTTTTATTACCAATTGCCCGGAAGGTTCGCTACAGTTAGCAGAATTAGGTAGACATTTTACCGGTGGTTCATGGTGTGGAGCTGGAGAAGGGAAGGCATCTTATTATAGCGAGACCAGTACTGTTACAGCCTCTATACGATTATTTCATGCACCTTCCACAGTACCATTCGAATTCCAATTGCGGTATAGGTTTGTAGCGCGTAACGAAGCTGTTGCTAGATTAGGAAAACCAGATCTTCCGATTGAAAGAGGTTCCCCGGTGCCAGGTACATACTGCTCTAGAAATTTTTATGAATGCCACTTAAAGCAGTGTAGACTACAAAGTCCAAATTATCCTGGTGAATATCCAAGAAATGCAAGCTGTTTGATCACCATAAGGCAAAAGGAGGTACCCACGTGCAAACATGCTATGATTTCTGTGAAATCTACACCCACTGGTCCAGTTGGAATTACTACGGCCAATAGTTCCCTAAGCGTATGGCAAGATTGCCCTTCAGAGAAAGACCGCCTCGTTTTTCACGACGGTGTTCGTCTAGAGGATCCGATTTTATTGGTTTACTGTGGAGGGCCTTTACCTAGAATAACTGCCAGAGGTCCAACGATGCAAGTGGAATTTAGAAGTTCTCCAATAGCTATTCCCCTAGGTGCTTCTGCGTTGCGACTCGAACTTGAGATTCAAGTAGTATACGTTGATTCCGATGGACTCGATTATGCTAGAGGCCTTCAGGGTTGTCACTTTTTTGTAAACGGAACTAGTAAAAGAAGTGGTATACTACGAGCACCGCTTCACGCACTGCCACCGAACTCCAGTTGTACATGGAATATCAGAGGAGCCGCTGGAGACAGAGTGTGGATTTATTTTTCTTCTTACTCTCAGAGAGATTTAACAGGCAGCGTAGAAAATAATGCTAGCTCGCAGTCAAACGTGTCTTGTGCAGTGAAACTAACTTTCTGGGATGGAAGCCCGCCCACTGACCATCCGATGGCTACACTCTGCGACGACACACCTAAATTGTGCGCGCATGCAGCTTTAAGAAACGTAACCAGGAGCACACGGCCATGTACCAAAGATGAAAGTTACATAACAGTAGCACCATCCTTGACGCTGCGCATGGAAACACTGTTGGGCACTGCTCTTCATACGGTTAACTTTAACGTAAGCTAACTATATAACCTTTCTCAAACTTTCTTTCTCTTCACCAGTGAATACTATCAATCATCTTTAAAATATCATTACACAGGCGCAGTACGAGTTCATCTCAACCGTTCAAGCCGGCGAGCCTTGGGGCGACGGTGTTTGCAGTCGAGTCTGGCGCAAGATTCGAAGCGGAGAAGTAATGTCGCCGCGCGACGTTCGCCTCTTCGGCAGAGGTGGATCCTCCAAGTTGGATTGCAGATACCGAATCGAGGCGGGCACGGACGAGAGGGTGCGGCTGACGTTGCACAACGTCAGCCTAGGCGAAGCGACCGTGTGCACGAGCGAACCAGATCCTCACACCAGCCGACCGCGTTGTGTTCAGGAAGTGGGCTCCAGAGAAGCTCGTTTAGTTTTATACGAGGCGCCATGGCGGGACGTGAGGCTTCCCAGAGCTTGTCTGTGCGACAATACGTCTCATTTACCTCTGACGCACATTTCCTCGAGCAGAGCTCTAGAAATTACATTCCTGGTTGATCAGCAGGCACCGCACGAGGACTTTGAAACGCTCTTCTTCTACGCCAGCTTCGAGCTCATCCGGGCACCCGAGTGTCCCAGGAAACAGAGAGTGCGCGGAGAAGGTAATGCTACTTATGAATCACTCGTTCAACCCTAACAAGTGTACTCATCGATTCTCTGTTCATTCCTTTCCAGGAGGCGAGTTAAGATTCATAGCACCGCCATTATCAAGACCAGACATTTACTGCGAGGGACTGCCTTGGTTAGTGGAGGCACGCGAGAATAGATCTCTCTTTGTCCTGACTTGGGGTTGGTTTCTCCCTCTGGAGCCCTCTCCGTTGTCAGAGATAAACGAGCAACCGAAGTGTCCGACAACCAACCGGATTCTCCTGTATTCCGGCTGGCCACCTAAACTGTTGAAGGTGGTGTGTCCCGCGGAGCCAGGTGCCAGGGAGTACACGGTTCACGTGTTCTCGGAGGAGTGGTTGGGAGGAGCTGGAGAAGGCAAATGGCCGGGACCACCGCGGCCACCCGCGCTTCTCCTGGACTTCGTCGCCAGAGAGTCTGGCCAGGCTGCGGCTTCGTGGCTCGAGATATCAAAGAGCAGAGCAGCGTTGCGTAGACAATTGCGTCTGCCGGAGAGGGGAATCGAGAATGACACTTTATCCCATGGAGACTGCCCTCACAAGTGCCCTGAACTAAGTGCTTGCATCGCAGCGAGCCTTTGGTGCGACGGACGTCCTCATTGTCCATCCGGGCATGACGAGGCAAACTGTGGTAACGGTGCGAAACTGCTCGGATTACTTCCATCGGAAGTGTGGCTCGTGTTAGCTGGTGTTGCTGGAATTATCGCTGCCTTTGCATGCTTTTTTGCTGTGCTGATCAGCAGGTAGGATCATCAGGAGTTCAATGCAATATAGGAACATGAGAGAATTGTGTGTCAACGATATGGGATTTTACTTTGCAGGTCAAAAGCACGCAACAAAGGACTTCATTATAAGGGTACAAAGAAAAGCAATAGGCCGAGACGCGCGCCAACAGAAGAGACGTTGCTCGGAGCAGCATCCTGACAGCAACAGCCCGGTTACGTGGAGTATATACACGTCGACCGGGAGACAACAGTTTAGCAATACTTCTCTATGCTTCACCGTCCACTAACTTATCACTATTCCCAGTTACCATACTCTTCATCTTCAAGTCTTTCGTTTTCTAGTCAACGGTAAGTAATTTCATTTGCTGGTGTAGCTCAGGCGAATCGTTTTAGGTTATCCCTAGTTGTTTTCTATGGGATTTTATAAAGGTTCATATTAATTAGAGATACGATAGGGATACGATTTCTAATCAATTATTGAAAAATCGTGCAGCCAATACGGCTGTAATCCATTAGCTCCGATTATGTTACATTCTTATACACATGCGTTTACGCAATTGGTAGCGTACGATATTCGTTTGTCGACGTAGCTGTTCAGTAAAGAAGTGCAAATAATATATACCGTACATACAGGAATACATCAATAATTTAATGAGATATCACACGTATTGCTCAAAGAACATTGTAACTGCCAAAAGAATACTTTAAGTTCTATTAGCAAGTGTACATTTTTTAGCAATAATGGAAAGGAATAGTAGACAGAGAATTGTGAATGCAACACTTTTTTGTATTTCACGTTGGGAGTATCTTTCATTTCTACAGTTGACATCCGTTACATGATTATGAATGTGTTTTTGTTAATGGCATCGAGGATTTGTTTTAATATATTTAATGTTAATGTCTTTCTTGTACGGGGTTTAGAAATATTCTTATATTTATTTATCACGGCAGCGCATACTTTCTATGAAATTCAATGTAGTCGTTTGATTCAAAGTCATGCTAAATATACAAAAAGGAATCTGAATAAAGACAACAATGCCGCATCATTTTTGATTCGTTGAATGTACAATACTACTGACTGACAAAAATAACTTGGCAGGTTGGGTGCACCGTTTGTACTGAATATGTATGCGATAACATTTTCCCTGCTAAACTATTTTTGTCGTGTTTTACGTAAATATATACTATTAAGGGAACAATTATAGGTGAAGTTCCAGCGCACAAGAAATTGTCATAAACCTGAAAGGAACAAAAAAAATTAGATGAAATTTATATGGTACAATATTATATAACAGTGTTTTCTCTACACTTCTTTCTACTCTGAGAAAGTGTTACATTTTTATTCCTGAAATTGATTATATTTTCTACAATATACTCTGTTCGTTGTATACTCGTATTTATTTAGAATACAAATTCCATTTATTTTGCAATAATGTATATGCACCCATGTAAGTACATGTATGAGAAACATTAGCGAAGTATATTCTTAATGACTAAAGGAACTTCAGGAAAAATCAGGCGATCTAATTAATATATATCGAATAGAGAAGTTTAGAAAACACTACCACACGGATATTCTAAAAAGTTACTCATAAAATCGCTGTTATACAATATTTACTACTATAGTTTATAGTTGCACTTAAACAACTAGAAGTCTACTTAGCTGAGGGAGAAGGAAAAAGAAAAAGGATGGAAGATAGCGACATAATTTATAACTATAAAACACTCGGTAATGTTAGAAAATTGTTATTCGAATATAATTATTGTTATAAGAACGACTAATACGTATTACTTAAACAGAAGTGGATGAATTCGCCTACTAGCTAGTTTCAAATTAGGAGGTTCACAACATAAAAACCGAATCATTGAACATTGAATATTTTAAGCTGAAATTCCATTCGTGGTACACAAACTACAATCCGAACGAATAAATCAAACATAGGTTTTAATTGGATTATTATATTATCACACGTGAATCCCGATTCGAGGGATTATACTTAAGTACCACTGTAAGGACTGAAAGTAAATTACAAGAGGCAGTGATTAAGTGAAAGGAATAAAACAATATGTATTATAAGTGCTACTTGAAAATTTACATTATAATATATTGTATACTTAGTTTCTAGAAAACTATACAAACTAGCAACGTCTGCGTCGCGACTCCTTGGAAAAATTGGATATTTAAAGGAGCACAGAAGGTCATTGGAATTTTCCGTTCTGTTAATTGGATATTTATAATCGACAAGGAGTTCACCGATGCAAAACTGATTTGGTATAGAGGAACCATACGTTTGTGTAAATAATGCATAGAGTATGAGAACTGAATGCGCGTAACACAGTCTGTTTGAACTATTTCAAATTCTGATATCTAAGAACATTGTTGTTAGATTCAATTTATACAAGATACTTGGAACACAATCAAGAAAGACAATTGTTCAAAATGTGTTTACACTTTTCTTTCAAAACGCTGCGCAAGGAATATTGAGTTAGTTGTTCTATCACGTAGATACTCAAGATGTTTCTCATTTTTAATTAAACCTCTTGCTATATGGCTATTAATTAAATCATATATGCAATTCTATACAATGTTTTGAAGAATAATTCTTACTTTTAAAGCTAAGGTTAAGTAATATATACTCAATGCGTTATGTATCACAACTTTATGATCTCTCCTGTACTTTTCATTCAATTGTATGCAAATAACGCGACACGTTCGCGTATTACGTAGACTGTGTTACCGTACTTGTTGTATTTGGGAGATTCGGGACGTTCGGCTATCCGAACGCGGATTTAGATATCAGTTTATGCGGACCGTGTAGCTCAAGACTTAGGGATTCCCCTGTTAGAGGGGCCTCCATAGCGAATTCCGCGAGGATCACCGTGTTTCCTCAGAAATATTCTAATCCGATAAACATTAATTTGAAGTTTTGAGAGAAGTACATTTTATGAAGAGCAACGTATACTTACTAGGGTCTACTTTAGTAACGAATTTACCGTATAACAAAGAGAAATGAAGAGAGAGGATTTACATATTACGACACCTTATACATAGGAACACATGCGTATCCAAACACTTATATACATGGAACATAAACGTACTCGTTTGAAGTTTTTAGAACGCAGAGACAAAATTGATCTCAGGGGATTACTCCTGGGCAAGATCATAGGAACTTAATTGCCTTTTACGCTGTAAGTGTGATGTAAGGTCCCGTGTAATCTCATTTAGTAAAGGGAATCATTGACGACAACAACTCGTTTGTAGAATTAGACGCCCAAACAGAGCGTAGAGAGAGAGAGAGAGAATAATAATTTCGTGATTCTACGTTTTCCAAAATGTCTTCTTTTCCTCCGACGAGTCAGCGAGCCTGGTACGTTCAGAGAATCCTTTTACAAATTAACCATGGTTTTCACCGTAGTGTGCCACACACTGTAATACGTGCGAGTGTAACGTGTTCTGTTCTCAGATTAATTTCTCTCGTTCGGGGAAACGAACTCACGACACGCATCTTCGGACAAATTGTTATTCGCAGTTATTACGCTCGACGTACCGACTCAGACGATTTCATGGTAAAGTATTTCCGAGAGGGAGACTAGTGTCACCACCGCCATAAGTGCGTTCGGGCTAATCACGTGGACACGAATATTTATCGAAAATGGAAAAAATTCTAAATACGATTGCGATATCGTTATTTTTGAACACTGGAAAAAACGATTTCTCATTTTCCATAGAAGGTTACACTTGTATAGATATATTCGATTTTAAATAAATATAACAAATCTGGATACACGCTCGTCACGTGTGTATACAGGGTGGAGATTATACAGCGTTACAGTCGAGTATCTCCGAGAATATTGATTACACGCAAAAATGTTTCAGACGAGAGTTGTTCGATACCGAGGGGGACGTCGCTTGGTGGAATTTTTATTTTTCCTGGTGGACGCTCCAAGGTGAGGTGAAGGTCAACTTTCTTTTCTCAAATGGAACGACACCATTTTTTATCCACAATCGAATAGCGTGTTTTAAGACGAATTCAACGACCTATGGCTCAAGGTCATTCAAGGTCAAACCTGCAGAAAAATGGAGAAAAGGTGTGACCGTTTTATTTGTTTTCGTCTGAAAGATGTTTGCGTGTAATCAATATTTCCGGAGATACTCGACTGTAACGCTTTATAATTTCCACCCTGTATATGTATACAAATGATTTTTATTTCAGTTGCTTCCGTTTTGCGTTACCTTCCTACATTCTTCCGGCTTTAATTTTCTTGAAAACCCGCTACCTCAAGTACACTGTGGGCGATGACGTCAATGGACCCACTGTTAGTAGAGGACTGACTAATTAGATCCAGGCATCGTTCGTTTCCGTTGTCCAAGCACTTCTCCGTTTGTCCACCATCTGCGAGAAGATCCCGTGGGGTCTGTCCCGCAGGAGCTCATGGGGGCGACCGAATTCCTGTTCCCACAAACCATATATGAGCGAACCACTCCACAGTAGCTATACTCGCGACAACAACATTATAAACCTGATCGTACCGCGATGCGACCGGCGTCCATCACGATGATCCTGTCGCAGTCGATGATGGTGTTCAGGCGGTGGGCGACGGTGATGACCGTGCAGTCGGCGAACCTGGTGCGTATCGTCTCCTGGATGAATAGTGGTGGTAATAATACTTAGAATAACAGCGATTGAGATAAATAAAATTTTCTAAATAATTCCCAAGAATATTCTGAATAGGATGCAATGAACAGAGAAGGTAATTTAACACTAAACCTACCGAGTTAAAATGTCTTTTTAATTCTTTGTTAATTAATGCCTTTTATCAAGACTGTAATTTACAATTCAGTTTGCGTATTGCCAAATCAATCTCTTGAACAATTTCTCAGAGAAATATCCGTTATTTTAATAATTGCAAAAAGAAATCAGGAATGGTTTTGACCCGTCTGGTAGGTTTAGTGTTAAGTATAAACAGGATACCTTAATTACCCACGTGTACTAATTTACTACTATAATTTTGTTTTAGATAATCCAAGAGGAACGTTGTCTCGCCCTTCACCGTCTGGAACGAGGAAGAAGCAACGATAGAGAAGCTCACCTGAAAAATATTTTACTCAACAGACCAGCGACCTCCTTTGAATTCCGTTTCGTGTACACTTTCTTCGTCTCCATTATTCCCTATGGATCTCAACAACGAACCATTGCGTTGATATCGACAGGGATATTTATAATGCACCGCTGGAATAGAATTTGTCAAGAGTGATGGTCAGACCATGAATTTCCTATTAAAATTTATTCGTCACGATAAACAATACACAGCGAACACGAGGATAACGAGGATACGAAACTAAAAAAAATCATGTTACATGCATGTCGAATGATAAATTAGTTTACAGCATTCTTGGATCATTGATATGAGCGTTCTGTATGCGTGGCTTTCATTGAAACAGTACTGCACGTGTTACGAAAATAATTCACGTTCTGTCCCACTCAAGTAAGGCCGAAGCTTAAATACATTTTCTCAGTCACTTATTCATTCATTCATTGTCTATATTATTTCAGTCCAAGATCCCATCACAGTATGGTCTCAGCGATGACATCAGTTGAATCCGTGTCGGTGGAGATCTTCCTGGTTCGATCCGGACTCTGGTTCTTCCTGTCCAGGCAAGCCTTCTCCGCCTGTTCGTGGAGCGTCTGCGCCATCGTCACCCCCGTGTTCTCCACCATCTGCGAGAAGATCCCGTTGGGCTTGTCGCGCAGGAGCTCATGGGGGCAGCCGAATTCCTGTTCCCACAAACCACTTATGAGCGAGCCACTCCACAGTAGCTATACTCTTGACAACAACATTGTAAACCTGATCGTACCGCGATGCGACCGGCGTCCATCACGATGATCCTGTCGCAGTCGATGATGGTGTTCAGGCGGTGGGCGACGGTGATGACCGTGCAGTCGACGAACCTGGTGCGTATCGTCTCCTGGATCAGCGAGTCGGTCCTGAAACATAACGCCGTTACGTTCACTGCCAACAGGTGGACGACGTTCCTCATTCTCCATTACGAGAATTACCGATTGTCGATGTTGGCCGTGGCCTCGTCCAAGACGAGGATGCGGTTGTTCTTCAAGATGGCCCTCGCCAGGCATATCAGTTGCCTCTGGCCGATGCTCAAGTTGCTCCCGCCCCGGTGCACTTTCTGGTCCAGGACGAGGTCGGTCAGCTCCACCTGGCGGAGGCTGTCCCACAGCTGCGCGTCGTCGTAGACGTTGAAGGGGTCCAGATTGTTGCGCACGGTGTCGGAGAAGAGGAACGGCTGCTGGGGGATGATGGATATCTTCGAGCGGAACTCGTGCAGACCCAGCTGGCTCACGTCCGACCCGTCGATTTTTATTTCTCCTTGTATCCCGTCGGGGAACAGACGGAACAGGGCCGAGATCAAGGAAGATTTCCCGGCACCGGTTCTGCCTACCACGCCGACCTTCCATCCGGCCTCTATCGTCACGTTCAGATCCTGGAACAGTCAGGTTCCAGAATGGAATACAATCCAGTGATGAATCGAGTGTTCTTCGTACACACCTGGAGAACCGGTGGCTCGTCTTTCTCGTATCTCAGGCTGACGTTCTTCAAGCTCAGATGGCCGTGCTGCGGCCATTCTGCGGGCGGAGGATTCTTACTCTCCCATTCTCCTTCCTCGGGAAGTTTGGTATACTGTAATAACCTATTCACCGATGCCATGTACGCTGACGTCTCTATGCTTCTTGTCAAACCATGGGGCAACATGCCCAGGGCACCAAGCGCCTGCGACAGTGCTAGGCCGACGTCGCCCCCCAGAAAGGCACCTAAGGAAAACATTCTGATTGGTCTGCGAGTGTAGATTAACACTAGGTTTACGGGCATTTATTGTCTTCATTCTATTATTCCTAAAAGAATTGATGCTTGTTTATTCAGATTGTAGAAACTGGAAATTTGATGGTAGCTAATTGTATAAACATGTACAAAATAATATTTCTAAATTAACGCGTTCCGTAAACCTAGTGTTAAACGCACCGTTCTCGACACGCACTTCTGTCTAAAGAAATGAAAATGAAACCGAGGCATCCAACGAACAACGCTGCGACTACGTCCAGGTACACGCCGAACGCTTGCGGCGTCATGAGCATCGCGCACCACGCGCTCGTGTGGACGTCTTGCAGCTGGTCGAATTGAGTCTGCAGCAGCTTCGTGACCTCTGGCCCAGTGGCCCTGATCGTCGACAGGCCGTGCAGCGTGGCATTTATGTGAGCGAACACAGGACTCTTCGCTGAAAGTTCCTTCGATAAGTATCATACAAATTCACTCGTCTCTCGTAGAAAGCATTGCCATATAGTTGAGAATTAATCCAATTAATTTAATTTATAAGAGAATTAATTCAATTTCAATATTTCTATCAATTTTGAAAATTCAGTCACCAAATGAGAAAGACTGGAAATCACAGCGGTGTGAAAGTGTTAAGCCTGACTACTTACTAACACTCTCTAAATATTTCAGCCTCTGCACGATCCTCTTGCAGCCCTTTCTCACGAGCCAGATGTAAACACTGAAAACGACTAAAGGGACGACCATCCAGTAACAGCTGATCACTATCATGACGACGATGCCGAAGGCTACGAAAAACACTTGGAGAGCCTCTAGTAGCACCGCTGGTAGAAGCTCGTCCATGGTGCTCACGTCCTTGGAGAATCTGTTCAGGATTCTTCCTGGATAAATCGATACATTGATAAATCTAATTTTGTAAGTCATCGTCTACGTTCAAGTATAACACTAGGTTTACAGACGTATTGTCCGGTTTATTCTATTGTTAAGAAAAATTGATGTCCGACCATTTAGATCTTGGAAATTAGGGATTCAACACATTGAACGCCGCACGATTTCACAGAGGAAAAAATATAATATTCACCCCTTAACGCACAGTATTTTTGAAAAAATATAAATATTCTTATAACTGCATCAACCAAAACCGACAAACGTTTGCCAAGTGATGTTTATAAGTTCAGTATGTCAAATTGACGCACTCCGTGAACCTAGTGATAATCATGCTTGATCTATTTACCAGCTGAATTTCGATGGAAGAACGACATCGTCGTGCGTAACATGTTCCAAAACATTATGTTGTAGATGTTCTTGCTGGCGTTCACGCACACGCTCATCAAGAAGAAGTTTCGTACCACTATGAACACTATGGAGACAACCACGCAGAAGGTGTAAACGTGCAGGGCGTCGAATTGCGTGACGAGCCCGTACCTGTCCAGTGTGAATATGCTGGACAAGAAAGTGTCGTTCGTCATCTTCTCGTACCGGCTGGTGTCCGTCGCGGAACCGTTCGCCACAATTATTCTTATGGTCTCCACGTTCATCCAGTAAGAGATCCAATAGTCGCAACCGCTGACGGCCGCTTGCGATAGAACGAAGACAAGCAGCAATAAAGCTAGGATAAAATACGATCCGCCGTACTTGAAGTATTCCACGTACATACTGCCGGAGACCGGTTCGGTCGCCGCTATCTCGTCCTCTTCTTCTGGACTGTACTCTTGAGTGTCGTAATTGTAGGACAACTGAAAACAGCGACCGTGAGCGCAACGTGATGTAAGGCTCGCTTAAATTTCACTGAAATTCAGCTGAATTCTACAGCGATAGGTAATCTCCTTCTGTTACTCATTATATGGGGCTCAGTGAAATGATCTCAGTAGATAGAGAGAAAATGAATACAATGAGCACAAGAGTACAAATGTATACATGCAATGAAGAGATATTTCAATTAGTCAATTCAACCTACATTTTCAAATGTGGCACTGATGAATTGTTGATGTTTTGCTGGTTAAAACGAGTCCAAACACGACGTAAATCGGTGTAGTTTCATCCACTGGGGGTAAATGAGCTTTTAATTTCGTTAATTACACTGAATCGGTGAAACTAGACCGATCTCCGTCGTGTTTGGGCTCATTCTAATCACAATAATCTCAGAAATTCACTGGCACTGCGTTTGAGAAGGTAACGTTACAATTAGTGTAATTGAAATGTTCATTGCATGTTTACGTTTGACACGTGTGACGTCGCTTTAAGGTAGCGTGTTTATATTCAATATATACTCTGCCTTTGTCAGGCCATGCTCGAGTTAGTTCCTGAAAGGAAATAGCTTGCTCCTATTTTTCCACCTCTAGTAAAACCCACTGCAGAAACCCGATTGTGAAATTTAAGCGAGCATCAGTGTGCTTTCATTATCAGACTCCCATTCGACATTAACGAAAATATAATTCTAGATACCACGCTGCTGGTGGTGGATCTCATCGATGCTTTGCCCACGCTCCTTTTGCTAATTCTCCTCTCTGACATGCTCAAGGATCCCAGCCCTGTTTCTCTTCGCTTAGCGACCTCCTCCGACATTTTAATACCCTTGATTACGTTTAAGAATTCCTCGGTGTTATTGTACAGTTGCTCGTAGGAGCCCGACATCCTGACACGGCCCTGTAACGAGAAGACCAACGTTTTCCCGAGTACAATACGCCGTGTCCGTTATTTGGAGAACCATCGATGGGAACTCACTCGGTCCAGCACTGCGATGGAGTCGACCTTTTTAATGAACTGCAACTGGTGGGTGACCAGGATCCTCGTCTTCCCGCTAAGATATTGTCGGATGCACCTCATGAAAAGATGTTTGGCCACCTTCGCGTCCACGGCGCTCAACGGATCGTCCAGCAAGTAAACGTCGGCCTGCTTGTAGACAGCCCTCGCCAGGTTCACGCGTGCCTTTTGCCCGCCGGACAAGGACGACCCGTTCTCGCCCACGTGAGTCAGGTCGCCGTAAGGCAGTTGCTGGAAGTCCCTGATCAAGGCGCACGCCTTGGTGACCTGCGACACACGACGCGCTCGTCATCGAGTGTTCCAATTCACGAAGCGGACGATAAGCTTCGTCTAGACCAAACCGTGCCAGCGGAGAAGAGAGATTCGATCCCTCCTGGAGAACTTACAGCCGCGTATCTCGCGTTGTCGTACGGAACTCCGAAGAGGATGTTCTCCCTGACCGTCCCCGAGAACAGCCACGGGTCTTGGCTGGCGTAGGAGATCGTCAGGTTCCGTTTATCGGTGAAATAACCGTGCGCATCGTCGTGGACGTCTTCCATCGGATTGCTGAGCATCTTCACGCTCCCGGCTCCCAAGGGCAGGTCCCTGAGGAGCAAATAAAGGATGGAGGACTTCCCGGAGCCGACCGAACCCACGAGCGCCAGTAATTCTCCTGCTTGGACTCTCATTGTAACGTCGGACAGCGTCGGTGGTAATTTCTCGGGCAGCCAATTCGCGTACACGTGGTTCAGTGCCACGGAAACCGGCGCGTTGCCTTCTACTTGGTTCACTGGCTTGTTTCTAATTTCGATGGCGTCTTCAATTCTCTTCGCTTTCTTCTCATCTTTGTTAACCTTGACGGTATCACCTTGCGTGTCGTGCGATGAGATCCACTCGTCTGTGCGTTCCTCCAACAATAGAAACTCCTGCAACAATTGTTCAGGACATTTTGTGAAACTAACTTAAAGAGAAATTCATGTGAATTGACGGACAAAGCTATGTTACGTCAGTATTTCTCAGATTGATGCATTATATGAAGTCTAATATTAAACATCAAACTTTATAGCTTCACTGTAGGAAATCAAGTGGTGACTGAGAGTCACCTTCCGAGTGCAAAGGGTTAACCCCTTGGCCTATGATTTCTTCCTCAACTCTGATCGACACGGTTACTTTGTCATTAGTAATTTATTGAAAAAAGAGGAAAATTCTAAGCATATGTTATGCCTATATTTCCTGTTAAGTGTAATAGTTGATTACAGAGGAATAATATTTACTTTGAATTCGAATGAACTGAGTAATATATATATTTGTTGAATCATGTTGAAAATCTTCACCACGGGTCTCACTCGTAGGGCAAGGGGTTAATGATCTGATTCTTAATAAGATCTCAGTATATAAACCTCTATTCTGTTCACAGTGACGATGATCTCCCCTAACATCAAGCATGAGAGTGGAAAGAAGTACGCCACCGTCAGCTGTATATAGTTCAGGTGCATAGTCAGCAAGTACATCTGCTCCGACTGGACCTTGGTCCCCAATAGAACACACACCAGGATGATAATATACACAAGAATTCGATTCGGTAGCACCAAGAAAGCCATGTTAATCGCACGAACGTACGCGGAGATCGTGATTTTCTTCAACTCCTCGGCTCTGATGGCGTCCAAGAACTTGGAAAATGGCTTCTCCCAGGCGTACATTTTGATCACCTTGGAAGAGACAGAATTTTAACACTAGGTTTACAGGCATTTATTGTCTTCATTCTATTATTCCTAAAAGAATTGATGCTCGTTTATTTAGATTGTGGAAACTGGAGATTTGATAGTAGGTAATTGGGGTACATGTCAGTGTGATCAATGTTTATTTAGATTGTGGAAACTGGAGATTTGATAGTAGATGGGGTACATATCAGTGTGCTCAATCAAAATCGGCGTAAACGTTTACAAAATAATATTTCTAAAATCCAATATGCGTCAATTTGACGCGTTCCATAAACTTAGTGTTAACGAGCAGACTCCTTTCAACCCTTTGCAGATGTCGACATTTGGGCGAGATGAAATTTTCATATTTCAAAGACTAAGTCACAAAAGAATGATTTAATTACAATAGCAAGAGATCAGCAGTTTCCTTTTGTTCTATCAATTGTACAGTTGATGTATAATTTAGCTTCATCTGTTGAAGGTTTGCAAAGGGTTAAATCTATATCGACTCACCTGTATCCCGGTTATCAGTTCATGTATTATCTCCACCCTCTTGCTTGTTATGCTAGCTACAATCTCCCTCAGTGCATTCAATTTTTTGCTGACGATCAAGATTGGAGCTATCATTATGAAAAGTAATATATAAGTAGCGACGGTCGGGAGTCCAATTACTGTCCATAGCAGTATAAAAGAAAGAACCATCTGTGAAGTTAAACGTGACGTCAACAAACGTTTTGTTTCAGTTGTGTCATTGGACAATTGTCGAACGAAGTGGACGTTACCTGGACTGGCCCGATCCAAAGGAAGTTGCAGTAGAACACAACGTAGTCGAAACGACCAGCGTCGTTGGCGAGCAGACTGATGATCTGTCCAGGAGACGTCTCGGACAAAGCGCTGTAGTTAAGACGTAGTATCTAGAAGCAAAACGTTTGAAATGGAAGAGGATCGTCGAATTTACAGGACACCGAGGCCTAATTTCAGTCTTGCAAGTTTAACCCTTAGCACTCCACATAGTTTCATAATATGTCACCAACTCCTACCAATTTTGATAGTAATCCTACTGAAAATTAACAATGTTATAACATTTCTTAGACCTTTAATTCCCTTCTCAGTACAAACTTTCTATATTTGGAAAATCTAATAATCTTAAGGTAGTTTTCTTAAAATTCATTTAAGGCTCCAATATTGCACCAGTTATAATATTAAATATTTCAATGAATCTCAAAGAAACTACCCTAAAATTATTAGATTTTCCACACATCCAAATTTTGTACTAAGGAAAATAAAAGATCTAAGAAATGTTATAGCATTTCTCATTTTCGCTAGGAATACTATAAGAATTAATTACAGTTGCTGATAGATTACAAAACAACCTGGAGTGCAAAGGGTTAATTAAGCGATTGATATGTAATTTAGCTTCATATGTTGTAGGTTTTGTATGCTTCCAAGAATCTTCCTTCGCAAAGGGTCAACGGTTACATCATTATCCACGTTTTCTTCAATTCCCTGCGTGCGACGATACATATTCTACGGCGACAAGGTCACCGTAGGGACTCCACTGTGACGCACATTCTCGTTCAATGCAATTCTACGATGATAACATATTTGCTGACTAATCATTCCGACTTCGATGTCAAATAATATTCATATTCATAATGTGTCTTATTTGTCTTGAACAGAAGGTATAAATATGTATCAAGGACGTATAAATATTCAACCGTTTCGGTTTGGAAACGGAATTATGAAATTCCGTTCTGTTCTAATTCCACAGCGAGCAATTATGAAATGACACAATCGCTGCACTTTATTATTTCCGGGTAAACAATGAAAAATTAATGAAAGTAAATCATTCGATGAGCAGGAAACAGAACTCGTCGTCGAACGGTTAATTTCAATAATTATCAAGACATCTTTTAGAACGTCCTACGTCATTCGAGCAATATTTTGCTCGTCTAAATTATAATACAGATAACTCGCTCAGAAGATAAACATTCGGAAAATTCATATTCTGATCTCTGAAATGATTATACATATTCAGAAGCTATAAAAAGAATTCCCATACCTAGGAAAAAAATAAAGGGACAACTGAGTACTCGAATAACTCAGAAAAATATTATTTATTCCATTGGAATTTAAAAAAATCAAGAAATATCTAAAAATAGACAGAACCTCATTGTCTTCTAAGCGACTCGGTTGTCAGCTAAAGATTCTATTGAAAAAAATCAAGAAATATCCAAAATAGACAGAACCACACTAACTTCTAAGCAACTCAATTGTCAACTAAAGATTCTATCACTCCAACCGTCACTAACTTTACCTTTCTATAAATCAGGGAGCACAAGGCGACTCGAATCCTCATGCCCAACTGATTCAGCCAGAGGTCACCGTGATGCATTAAGATGACCTCAGCCAGCATAGCCAGCATGGCCCCGGCAGCGTACAAGAGAGCCTCTGTTCTGCTCGCAGTATGAGTATTCGGGTCCACGTTGAAATAATTGATGATCCCAGACACCAGTCTCGGTAGAATGGAAACCAAGAGCACGTACACCAGCGAGGAGAGGACCATGGACATCAAGAAGTCCTTCCTGAAGGTCCGCAGAATCACTATGCCCAACGACGGTTTCTTCTTTCGCTTGAAATTCATGTCCACCGTGTAGTCCGTCGTTTCTTCTTCTTCTTTTGACTTCCGGAGTTCGCTTTCCCATAATCTGCGAAACGTGGCACGTGTCTTTCAGATTTTACTTTTCTTTTTTTAACCAGTTAAGTGTGTTCGACGAGTATACACGTCATCTTAACACATTGAACGCCGGCTAAATTTCAGCTATTAAAAACGCGAGCGTCGGTGATTGTATTGATACATTTTTAAACATCGGTTAAACCGATAGTTCTATCTTATGGGAGAAAACAAGGAATTCGAATTTGTAAATTTTACTTTGGATTTGTGTTATATGTATGTGAAATGTTACGTGAACGTAGGATCAGCAATTAACCCTTTGCGAACGAACGTCGACGTTTCGACGAGATGAAATGTTCATATTTGGAAGACTAAGTTGCAAATGAATGATTTAATTAGTTGAACAGCTTAATGATTTAATTACTCGAACAGTTTTCTATTTTTCTATTGATCAAGTAATTGATGTATAATTTTTCAAAAATTCCACACTTAACTGGTTAAATCTTGTCTCTGAAATTTTCCGAATGGAAGACTTCGAACGTGGACACTTACTGGGTCAATCGGTCGCAGACGTTTCCGGAATTGTCGTTCTTCACGGGAGAGTAGAGATCCTCCAAATTGAGATCTCCGCGGATACCTTTGTAGAACAGCTTTCGCGGCCATCTGAAATGTTTCCGAATGAGAAGAAAGGGTTGCAATTAACCGGTTAACCCTTTGCACTCGAGAGGTGACTCTCAGTCACTCGATTAGATGCAGTGAAACTATAAAATTTGATGTTCAATATTGAACTGTGTATAATGCATCCGTGTGTGTGATATTGGGATAGAAAAGCTTTGCTTCTCAATTTACTTGCGATGTCTCTTTGAGTTAATTTAACCGTTTGCACTCAGAAGCTTTTCACTAGAAACATTCGACACTTTCCTATGAGATGTTGATGACATTATTTGAAACGAACTAATGAGAAAACATAAGTACGTTAAAAACAAAGCTATTTTATAGAAATATTTCACATATTGATGCATTATACGAAACTTAATACTATATATATAATATGTATAAAATCTATCCTAACGAAAAACTAAAGGGAAACAAAGAATTACAAGTTTGTCTCAAAAAATAAATAATCCATTCTTCTTCGTTTTCCTTCAGTTTTTCATTAAGATATATTTTTAATGCATTCAGCCTGCATTTAACGAGTGTACACTTCATTATTTGATGTTATTGCGCGCACAGTGAGAGATTTTTTAAAAATTCCACGGTTAACCGGTTAATGAGATACCAAGGGGAATACGCACACGAAGAAGAATCGGTTCAGGGGACCAGCGGTCTCTTTAGGACTTCGCTTGGTGCACACTATCTTTGGTTCCATGGTGGAAATCCTAGTTGGAGAATCACAGTCTCGCGTGCAACTTAGCGCGAGCCGGCGCGACTTCAGCCTTTAAAGCTGCCCTACGTTTGCTAGTATGGTAATTATACGTTGTCGACTTTTATGCAGATCTTGCGCGTCAAAGAACGACAAATACATGCAAAAAGGAATTTAAAGTGCAGAGAAAATGTGGATAAAGTGTATTCTAAGTAACCGAGATAGTGATGTGATAGAGATGCATGGCTTAACTCAAGGTGCAAAGATAAAATCATCTTCATTTGTTTAACGTAATATATGTTGCAAGCTTCGTTCGTTTAAATGGCGAGACTAATAAAAATAGAAACAAATATCTTTATTCGCTGTTGTTTATACTTGTGATTAATTGTCAGTCTGAGGGTAATTTAGCATTCAAGTGCAACTGCATTTAGCTTCTGGTTTTCTAGGATATATTTCCACTATTTATGGATGAAATTATTTTAATATATAATTAATAGGTGTATAGTAGTAATTAACAATAATCGCATTGTATGTGATAGTGTGTAATAGTTTATCACTAAGAAGGAGAGTGCAAGGCCTGCGGGTCACTGATTTCATTGGAACTTTGCATATTGGTAGATTTGGTTCTCTTGTTTATGAATATGTATCATTATATGGGCAGATAATCAATAGTTTTTTAGATATTCTTATAATATATTCTTATATAATAACAGGAGAACCAAATCTACCAATATGCAAAGTTTCAACAAAATCAGTGACCCAAAGACCTTGCACTCTCCTTGTAAAAAGAGAAGTTATTGAACCTGGAAATTACAAAAATTATGAAATTTGTAATACATTGCAATTTTTCTCATTCACTTTGAAGGGGTGAAACCAATCCCTGATGAAAAATGTAAATTTTTCCTTCCCATGGATTATCTTGAGAACAAAGATAGCAGAAATAAAATTTTCCAAAAAAATTCAGTGCTGGGGTATTTTAAAAATCTGAACTTTTTCAAGAATTTTATTCTTTAATTTTATGGACACGAAAGAATAATGTATTTTTTGTTAAAAAAAAAATGGAAAAAAAGCAAAAGAAACCATTCTTTCCAACGGTCGGTTCCACCCCTTCAGTTTGAAATTCGGCGCGAAAAATGATTCCACTGTAATTCATAATTTCTTGAATTTCCAGGTTCGCTGACTTCCCTCGTAAGATGACAGGTCACCATAGAAAAATTCACATCATTAACACTAGGTTCACAGACATTTATTGTTTAAACGTTGCAAATTTATCGGTGTTACATGTTCTGAATTACCGACTGTGTAAAGAAGTTTCCTCAGAGGTTATGTTCTGCCCTCTACCTAGAGAAAAATCGATAGAAAAACATCAATCAAAATGTTCGAAGTTTACCAAGTATTAATTACGGTAAATCAATATACAAATCTATTCGTTATAATTTTACCATTTTTTCATTGTTATCTCGTCTGTAGTCTAATATTAACGGAATTTAAAACAATAAATTCGAAATTCCCCGCGCAGAGATGACTAGGTCGCGCAGCTGTCGGCCAATCAGCGTCTGGTACACCGACTGCGCACAAACTCGGCCTCCGAGCAGCTTAGTTCGATTATTCCTGTCAATGTGCGTGGATTGTCGCTTGTCAGCGAGGAAACATCTCTTTTTATGCGTACAAATTGAACAAATTACGGCATTGTTCTGTACATACATATATATATTTCCAGTGTAGTGTGGACATTAAATCCTTCCTCGTCGCGGGGACATCGACAGACGTTAAACGTTCGAGAAATTTTAATTTGTCTCCGGCGAACCGCAGAATTCGTGAGTACTAATTATCCACTCGAAATAACCGCGAAACGAGCCAGTCCGCGAAATCCATGAAACGATAAATCAGTGGTGTATACAAAAGTAGAGTTTTATTTACAGACTTCAATATTATATAATAATAATATTCATAAAAAATATAACGACAGTATAATCTCCGCACAATGTTTAAAATGAACATTGACTTGCCGCTGGCACCAATGATTCCTTGGTATATACAAACGTATTAAAGTACGTACATAGAAAATTAATAGATCTAGTATTTAATAGACGTAATGAAGTACTTTCTTGTGTACATATGTATATATGCATATATATAAATATATAGGAGACGAAGCGTTGGCATGCTTAACCATTAATTCCGAAAATTCCACTGAACGCGACCTCCGACATTCGATTCGATTCGCGTGAAAATTAATTGTTATTTATAACGCTCCTCTCGCTCCTATATAACAAGCCCGCAACACGAGACGTGTTTTCACGCGTCCGCGTGACACGCTCGTGAAACGTTCGGTAAAAGACGAGACAATCGACGCAAGAAACCGAACACCTTCGATCTTGGATTGCAGCGTGTTTGAAAAAGTCGCTCGTAAAATAAAACGATCTCTCTCTTCCTTCTGTTTTGTATAGTAGAAAAATATAAGTACTCGTTGGAAGTGATGCGCGCGCCGATCAACGGCGCGGTTTACGGGAAGCACTGTGGACAGAATCTGCTCGGTTGTTCCGTGAAGCGAACGAACGTTCGATTTCTCGGGCTCGGAACTTACAGTAATACTTGATTAGAATCCAGACGCAATCAACACTAAAATTACCGGTGAAAATCACTCATTCCTGTTTTTACAATTAAAGGATAAATGTTTCTCTGAAATTGACACTATTTCTACCGGTGTCGACGCCTCAAATTTTCACTGAAAATTATTTTCTCGGTTCAATCATTTCTCAATTGAATTTTGGACATTTATAATCATTTTTATAATCGCTACTCAAAATGTTGAGTAGTCAATTTAGAATTATTAAACTATTATTATTATTATTTAGTATTAATTATTTACGACTAAACTAGGAAAATAGTTTTCATCTGAAAATTCCTTGGACACATTCTGTTGACACCTTCAGAAGTGTTAAAGAAATTGATTTGCCAATACGAACACTGAATTGTAAATTAAATGAAGCCTCGATGGCCACTTTTGGAGTTTCTATGAAGGAGTTGTAAAAATTTGATTTAATTACTCGGTGGTTTCAGTGTTAATCGGCATCCGTCAGTGATCATTATCTCGAGTCGCGGTGGATGACCGTCGAATTCCAATTGATCATCGTTCACCGTATTTCGCGATGTAAGACTGCCTCGCTATCTTAACTAATTGATCGTACATCGAGCGGTCGGTTTCCTTCACCAACGAAGTGAAATGGCTGTGGCTGTTTTGGAGCAGCACGTGCGGATGGTCGTATTCCTAGAGAGAAGAACAAATAGAGATTACGTTTGTTAATCCGGCTGGTTTATCGTCTCGGATAACGTGTGGATAACGATAGGAATTCTGATTACACGTAGGCTTTAACTCTAATCGTACAATGTGTTAACACGTTGAATGCCAGGGTCACCGGTGACCCACAAATCGAATTACTACAGTTCATTCAATTAACGAGTTAACTGTGTTTGACGAGTATACTCGTCATGGAGAAGTTGCAGAGTTTTGAAGTAATCTAATAGGTTAATGCAACAAGATTATCAATGTGTGAAACACATCATTGAGAATTCTATGAAACACATCATAGAAACGTGGTTAATTATAAAAATACACAGTTCTCCGATTAAATGAAGAATACAAAGTCTTCTTACCGCCATACGACCCTTATCCATCACTAAAACTTTATCGCTGTCCATAATGGTGTTCAGCCGATGGGCAATAGTAAGTACGGTGCACTTGGCAAACTTTTTCCTTATCGTGTGCTGAATCAGAGCGTCTGTGTGCGGATCGACATTCGCGGTCGCCTCATCGAGCATGAGTATCCGGTTGTTCCTTAATATTGCTCTTGCTAAACAAACCAATTGCCTTTGACCAACGCTATAGTTGCTTCCTCTATCCAACACTCTACTCTGTAACCCAGTGCCGGCAGTGATGATAGCCTCTTTCAATTCCACCTACAAATATTGACACACATGTACACCAACATTCTATTTATAATTGACTTTGGTAAAAAGTATCTGTCACTCTTCTCTGGCTAACCTCTTCAAGCACTTCCCACAGTGCTTTATCTGAGAACTCGTTGAAGGGATCCAAATTGCGTCTCAAGGTGCCAGAGAATAGAACTGGATCCTGAGGAATGATGGATATGTTGCGTCGCAGATCCTCCAGGCAAATAGAGCCAGTGTCTATGCCATCGATTTCAATGACTCCGTCGAGTTTCGCTAGTCTAAACAAAGCTGATATCAGGGAGGACTTCCCGGCACCGGTGCGACCGACGATACCTATCTGCAATGTTTCATGAGTGTTTTAACCCTTTGAACTCTGTAGGCTCCAATATTGCATCAGGAATAATATTAGATATTTTAATGAATCTTAAAGAAACTACCCTAAAATTATTAGATTTTCCACACATCCAAATTTTGTACTCAGAAAGATAAAAGACCCAAGAAATGTTATAGCATTTCTCATTTTCTCTAGGGACACTATAAAAATTAGTTGCAATTGCTGATTACAAAACCATCTGGAGTGCTAATGGTTAACAGTTACAGAAATATAAATTCCATGGAGTACAAACCTTCTCCCCAGCAGAAATGACAATGTTCAGCCCCTTCAACACCGGAGGATCCTCCTCCGCGTACCGCATATAAACTTGATTGAACTTTATCGTCCCCTCAGCGGGCCAATTCTTTGGTGCGTTCGCCGGAAGCGCGACATCTTTGTCCGTCTTCTTCGCGAACTTTCCTCTATCCCTGAGATTTGGTTCCGGTGCTATCTGCGTGTACTCGAGCACACGTTCCACGGCCATCATCTGATTGGCCACTTCGGCGTTTTGCCTCATGCCCCACTGAATCATCCCAGTCATCGCCATCACTTGGGTAATCGCTAAACCCACTTCGCCTCCGGAGAAAGCTGCAAGGAAAGAAGCAATCAATCATCCGACTCACACTCTGAGAAGCAGAGATTCATCTGCAGAAAACTCTATTGGCACCTAAAAGGTCAAATGAAGATCAACAATGGCAGAGTACAATAGAACACGTGGAAAAAAGATACTACAGGGGAATATCGAGAAGCGCTAGAGGGATAGAGATAGCCGTTTGATCATCTAGTTGTCCTGATAGTTGTCTAATATAATTATAAGAATCTTACACTGTTGCAATAGAAGGAAACTGAAGGTAACCAATGAAGTGAATATAAGGCAAAAGACGTCCAGAGAAAATCCGAAGGCAGTGCTTGCTACTACGTACATATAAACAGTGGAAGTATGGACGTCTTGTAGCTTGTCGAACTCTTTCCTCAATATATCTTGTGCGCAATAGGCTCTGATGGTACTCAGTCCATTGAGCGTTGCATTTAGATGAGTGAATACAGGTGAACGAGCTAGATGAAACATAATTGAATGTTACTGGATTGTTACGGAGAAAGTTTATCAAGCTAGTGTCAAGGTTCCTTACTAATTCCTTCCATTCGCTTAATATTTTTGCTCGTTTTTAGAAACACTTTTCGTATCCAGTAGAAAACGAACCCCAAGAACAGTATGGGAATTAAGAAGAGGGGATTAACGATGCACGACACTGTCAACGATCCGAACATCATCATGCATATCTGTCCGGCGTCGAGTATAGCTTTTGGCAGCAGCTCGTCTATCGCTCCCAAGTCCTTGGAGAATCTGTTCAGGATTCTACCGCTGGGATTCGTGTCGAAGAACCTCATGCCGGTTCGGATCAAAGCACTGAATGTCATGTCGTGCAACTTTTGACTGCACAATATGCACACTTTGTAGAAGATGAGGGATCTGGTGATGCCGATCACGAATATTCCAATCACTATCGCCGTGTAAACATACAGATAGGGATACGTGGATGACAGGTCGGATTCGTCAATCACCGTGTCATTGGTAGCGTTCAGCTTAGCTTGCTGAAGTAGATAGTGCCGCGTCTCCTCTGCGTTTACTCTGGAAAATATGTTGCACGGTCGGTAAGGAGATTGTCGTTAATCGTTTGAGTGCTGAGGAGCGCTGTAGCGCTATTGTGTTGTGCCAAAATTGCGGAGAGCAAGTAGGCTTTTAAATTTTTAATTATATTTTATAATTATATTTTTACTCGAACTACCGAGGATTTAATATGACTGATATATAATCCCTATTAAAATTCTAATAGATTATTTTCGGTTTCAGACATTCATTATAGTATTCAAGTGAAAGCTATTTACTTTCAAGATCATTTCGAATATTCAATGCTTTTAACCATTTATCAGTATCAATTACAATTTTCTTATATGTTCTTCAAGAAATGAATCAAAGTAAATTTATTTGAATTTTATTTTTTGAGATTTCTTTGTAATAACATAATATCTGTGATCTCATTAAATACTCTTATTAATTTTTTTTTGCATACTCATCACTTCCGCATTTTTGGTAAACATCCACAAATGTTTAGCATCCAAACGGTTAAGAGAGCTAGGAAGAAGACTAAAGTACTTACAGAATAGGAACGAAGTAATCGTTCAAACTGACAGTGAACTGTGTACATATGAACAATAAGAGTACAGTAAGTGCCAGACACGTGTTGGTGCCAGTTTTGAAGTACTGTATGAAAATCGGTCCCTTCACTGCTCCACGCGACGTCCCTTCGAAACCGTCGTTCAACTTCTCAGGATCCTCGTCTTCCTCTTCGTCGTCTGTGCCACAACTACTAGCTTCCGGTGTTCGGCTCTACCAAACAGAGGTACAGAGTCATTTAAACCCAAACTTGCTAACTGTCAGATATCCTGTTTAACACGTTCCATGCCACAGAAACTTATATTTTGTTTATGAACTGTATTGAATTTTTCAATAAAGTAATAAGTTACATTCAAGTTTCTGGTCACTTTATATATTTTGATGTTGTTTCTTTGTTTTCACTGCTTTGTAACGTATACCATATACCATATATCCATTAAAAATATTTTCTCACAAACATTGTACCACATGTGGTACACGTGGCATGGAACGTGTTAACCCTTTGCACTCCAGAAGTTTTCCACCGGAAATATTCAATATTTTCCAATGAGATACACATGACATTTTCTTAGATTGAATTAAGAAATCTCACATGCATTCAGGAACTATTTTCTCTCAATATTTCTTACATTGATGCATTATACAATATTTAACCCTTTGCACTCGAGAGGCTTTCACTCGCCATTTGATTTAACCCAACGAAATTACAAACTTTAAAATTCAGTATTAAATTTCCTATAATCTATCAACACATGGAACATCGAAATAAAGTAGTTCCGTCACTCAATTTATGCAAGGTATTTCTTTATATTAATTGTAAAAAATACCATTGATATTTCTTCAGAAAATAAGGAATACTTGTTGCGAGAAATATTCTCCAGTGCAAAGGGTTAATTCTTCACTTGAATTAGAACTCACTCTGGTGCTCGACGATGAAAATTGTCTTCGCATCACACTCTTCTCCAAAGAGGAGTCATCGTGCGTCTCGCTCTCCGTTGCGAGGAGGTGGCCGTACTCGGGTCGCTTGTCCAACAGATCCTGATAATTCGAGAATATCGTGACCTTCCCTTGCTCGATGAGCACGATGACATCGACGTTCTTCACGTACTGCAACTGATGGGTCGCCAGAATCCTAGTCTTCCCTGCTAGGTACCGTTGAATACACTCTTCGAACAAGTGTTTACTAACGTGTGTGTCAACCTGCAATGAATCCAAGTTGCTTAGTGTCATAAGTGTGGGAATGGATGTATTTGAAATACTGTTAATAAAATTCTCTTTCTCCTATAAGTGAAGTGTAAGGTACACCTAACATTCCAAGGTTGTCTACTTCAAACGATCTACGGTTGCATATACTAGACAAACTTTGACGAGATATTGGATCTATCCCATAGATAATCTACAGAAAAATCAACTCACAGCACTTAGGGGATCATCCAGTAGATAAATATCTGCCTGTCTGTACAGCGACCTGGCCAAATTGATCCTAGCCTTCTGTCCACCTGACAAGGAACTTCCCCTTTCTCCAACCACCGTCTGATCACCCTGAGGAAATTGTTTGAAGTCTCTCAGAAGGGAACACGCTTTAACGACCCTTTGATAACGATGCCGATCGTAAGGCTGACCAAAGAGTATATTCTGTCTGACAGTCGACCCGAACACCCAAGCCTCTTGACCGGCATAGCTCAGAGTCCCGTTAACCTTCACGTGACCTTCAGTGATATCTATCTCTCCAAGTATAGCGGAAAGAAAGGAACTTTTCCCTGCTCCGACCATGCCGATCACTGCATATATCTTTCCTTTTTCTATCTCAAAGTTCAATCCTTCCAAAGTGTTCTCCGACTGACCAGGTTCCCATTTAGCTGTCACATTAGCCATCTTAATGGCGAACGTATCCTCGTTCACCACAGACGAACGTTTCCCTTCTGTAAAGAAAGTGATTGTAACAAATATCACCTTTGCCACTTAACCCTTAGCTGTCCTCGAGTCAGACTCGACATTCTATTTTATTGCAACCTCTACCTGTTTTAACAATTTTTCTATATTTGTTTGTAGCATCACAATTGTACCATTTAACATTAAAACTACCAGAGGGGTCAAATGACTGAGGGGTCAAATGATTTTTGCAATTAGGAAGGTAACAAATGTTTCTCTGAGAAATTATTAAAGAAACTCATTTGGCACTACGCAAATTGAATTGTAAATCAATTAAAGTCTGAACAGATGCACTCTTGGACTTTCTATAGCGAAATTTTAAAAAGTCAACTGAACTGAAATTGAATTGAAATATTGAAATAAAATAGCTTTGTTCCTCAGTGTACGTGTGATTTCTCTTCAAGTTAGTTTCACAAATTTAAATTCTATCTGTCACATGACCCACCTCCCATGAGATTCGCAGTGTTCTTCAACAAATCACTGGCGACCACAACCAGCCCGTTGTGTTTCCTCTTCTCCTCGGATTCGTCGAGATTCTCATAAGTATCCACCTCGTCATCAATATATGGCAAATCGTGTCTAGAAGTTTTGTTGGAGGTCTGCTTCGAATCGATGTTGATACTGCCATTCAGACTGGCGGCGAATTTGTTCAGGCTGAATCCCTTCTCCTGGAACTCCTCGTACAGTAAAAAGTATTGCAGTCTCCTCACGGCGACCATGCACTCGGCTATCTCCGCGAAACCACGGACGAACATTCCCGACATGGTGTGCGCCAGTATGTTGAAGTAAGACGAGAAAACGAACACTTTGTCGGCGGTCAGGTCGTTCCCGAACAGCAGCATGCTGAGCAGCGTACAGAAGAGCGCCATTCTCGTGGTGAACAGGTTGAAGGTCATGTAGAAGCCTCTGATGTACGCGCTCTTCGTGACAACTTTCAGTTCCAATTTACGGGCGGTCTCTATGAGCGCGCAGAACGGCTTCTCCCAGGCGTACATCTTTATCACTTGGACGCCGGATATGATCTCGTCCATTAGGCGCACCCTCTCGTCGGTTTTCATTGCGGTTTGCAGTCTGAACTTCGAGGACAGCTTTCCTGTGTAGGCTGTAACATTTTAATGGACTGGTGAAGTAAAACTGAGGCAAAATCTGCGTCCCTTAACACGTTAAGCGCCACGTCAGTGATGACTGACGCTTCTTAACACGTTGAATGCCATGGGGGTCACCGGTGACCCCCGACCGAATGGAATTACTATAGTTCACTCAAGTAAACGATGATTATATGAAAATATTTCTATATTATAAATAATGTTATCTAATATGGTGACATCCAGATAGATGAATGTGGAATAGTATTAATGCAATTCGATTAAATGATTTAGTATTATATTTTTTCCATTTTGTGTATTTTGTAATGCGCTTAACGTGTTAACATATACAGCAGCAGCATCATTACCGAAAACTCACATTGAATCGGCACGACGACGAACACAGCGACGATGCCAATTAGTCCAGCGTATCCAGCCTCGATATAGAGGAAATAGGCTATAATTAACGCGGAGAGCGGGGCGGACCACATGTGGTGAATAAATATGGAGACGAGATCGAATCTGTTCACGTCGTTCGCCACTAAATTGACTACCTTCCCTGGTGCCGTCTCGCCCAGCGCTGTCTTGCTCAGACGCAGTGCCTGCAATCCACAAAATTAGAATGTTAATAAACAGTAGGAAAATAAACTAACTCGAGAAATGTATCTCGTATCGGCATAACGACAGCCCTAGATGTTATTGGCCTTTGTAACTTTCTTAGCTGAACCCAAAACCAAGAGAGCACCATACAGCCGACACCTGTCCAAACATTTAACATGCACAAAATTGAACTAATTTAAATAAAAAAAATCGAAAAACATTTCTTTCCCACGGGGCACCGAACCCTGGTCTACAGAATACAATTCCAGAACGTTACCCTCACGCCATTATTCAATTTGGTCATTATTCTGATTAATACTGTACTTACTGACGTGATAAAGTTTTAATAACGAATATCTAAAAAAGTATTGAGTATATATATAATATGTAATATCTAATATTATATATCTAATATCTAATATTACATAAGAATATGTAAAAAAAACTATTGAGTATCTGCCCTTACAATGGTATATATTCATAAACAGGAGAACCAAATCCCTGAGTTGCCAATAAACAGTCCAACGGCAATCTTACAATTCTGATCCTACATCAAGACTCAATCATTTTCATTACCTTACGATAAACAACGGAACACGCCGCAACTCGGATTTTCGCACCGATGTGGAACGCGCCGAAGATCGCTTGATTCAGCGAGATCACGTTTATCGCCGTGGCCAGGCAAATCCCTCCTGCGTAAAGGAGCGCCGTCTCGTACGTTTCCACCGTGTCCTTCTTGAAGTAACGTAGCAGCCCGCCGAGAAGTATTGGTGTCCCCAACCTAATATTTAGATCAGGGTAATTAGACACCGAAACCTGATAGTCCAGCAATAACTCGAACGCGCTGAACGCGGGGAAACCGAGACGCTTACCGTAGTATGAACTCGTTCAGTATTTGCATCATGCCGAGTATACTGTACTCCCATAGGAACGTGCGAAAAATGGCCCTTAGCAGGCTCGGTCGTCGTTTGCCTTTCTTCGAGTTCTCCAGTTCGAGCTTCCATCGTCTGCGAAAGAAATCAGGTGAAGTGTCTTCAAGTGAAACACTTTCGAGTGCAAAGGGTCAATTTGAACGTCAAGGTTCATTTGAATACCAACTTCTCTAATCTGTCCCCGAGTATTTGTGATCGATCAGTCTTCAATGGATCATACAGGTCGTCCGTCTGCAAGATCTTCTTGTAGCCCTTCTTGAACAATCCTATCGTCCACCTGCGTGGCAACGTAAAAGATATTACACATCATATTAACAATTCTGATTACCAGAAACGCGAGCACCGGTGATTACCAGTAGAACTACCGTACCAGTCGAAATTACTGGTTTCGATTGTTTTGTTTCACAATTATTGATATCTCAGAAGCATTGAATATTCGAAATGATTTTGAAAATAGTTCCACTTGAGTACTGTAATGAGTGTCTGAAGAAACTGAGAATAATCTATTGTTACAATTTTTATAGGAATTGCATATTAATCGTGTTAAATCCTCGGTAGTTCTAGTGTTAAAAATAGAATTATAACATAATTAAATGTAATAGTATAACTAAAATATAATTAAATATAATACTATAACTAAAATATAATGAAAAATATAATAACTATAATAAAAAATAAATATAAGTAACTGTAAAAGAGGAAATAAAAAATAAATCATTCCAACCCATCCGATATTTCTACCGTTAAAAATCCCTGATTATCGCATTAACTATATTAACAATTACAAATAATAATATTAATAATTACAATTCGCCCATTTATTCGCTGACCTTTAACCCGGCGGCCTCCCGAATTACCGATTGTAAATTCACGTGGAATTATCTCGACGTATCTGAAGTGTCGGTAACCGGTTAAGAGCGAAACGACGAACGATAAGAGGATCACTTTAAACCAGATAATGTTACGTGTCATTGTGTAATACACGAAACGAACAATGCTCGTAATGGATGACACTTCAGTTTTCGATTGCCCTCGAGAGGGCTTCGAATTTACAATTGGTAACATTACGAGATCAAGTTATCCGCAAACAAATCGTACACAAACAGTCGCGCGACCATAATAAACGAGTAAACAGTGGACGGACTTACCACCATAACAACACCGACACCAAGTTAGCTCGTTCTCGTGGGTTCGGGTTCGATTTCACGCTGCTCGAATCCATTTTCCTTCGAACGCTGCATTAACCCCTTACTGTGCAATAATTAGAGCGAGACTCGTGATGAACGCTTCCAGGCTAATTTAACGGTCAATGTTGCTCATTACCCTCGGATCAACGGCTGTTTTGATACTATCGACGTGTTATCTGCAAATGAGATTTCCACTTGAAGTAGAATGGAAAATTTTCTACGTTCCTTCCGAATTGTAAAATGTTAACCCTTTGAACTCTGTAGGCTCGAATATTGCACCAGTTATAATATTAACTTCTCAGTCACCACTCGATTGTAAGAAGATGAAGATGCATGAAGATTGTAAAATTTCGTTTTTAACGTTAAGTCTTGAATAATCTGTCGATACGTGAAATGTGGGAATGAAATACCGTTGTTTGTTGATTTGAAATATCTCGTAAAAATAGATTGAATATTTCTAGTGAGAAATTCTTGGAGTGCAAAGGGTTAAATATTTCAATGAATCTTAAAGAATCTACAGTAAAATTATTCGATTTTCCACACATACAAATTTTGTACTAAACAAGGAAGATAAAAGATTGAAGAAATGTTGCAGCATTTATAATTTCCGCTAGGAATACTATAAAAATTACAAAAGTTAACCCTTTACTCGGAAGTTTTTCATTGGAAATATTTCAACGTCCTCCGATGAGATAGAGAGGATATTTTGTGAACTCGACGCGAAATCACAGTTAAATTGAGGGACAAAGCTGTTTTGTTTGAATATTTCTCAAATTGATGTATTGTACGAAGTTTAACCCTTAGCAGTCCTATGTCGAGTCAGACTCGACATTCTATTTTACTGCAACCTCCACCTATTTTAACAATTTTTCTATATTTATTTATAGTATCACAATTGTACCATTTAAAGGTAACATTTCAATGACTCCCAAATCAAATCAAGTGGTGACTGAGAGTCACCTCTCGAGTGCAAAGGATTAATATTAAGTATCAAACTTTATAGCTTCACTGTATGAAATCAATTAATGGCTGAGAGTCACCTCCCAAGTGCAAAGGATTAATTAACAAAACTAAATAGTACATCAAGGGGTTAAACTCACTTTTCAAGCGATCATCGCATCACCGATCGTGAGACGGAAAGAAGGGCATCTGTCTGACCGGCCCTTGAACACCTGTGAACACCTCGATGATCCTGCGCGTAGCGCGAACCTCCTCTCTCGCCGAACGTGAATCGAAGAAACGAAAGAACGCGTCCAAACTCTCGGTCCCTCCGATAAAAATCTTCAGTCTCGGATAAAGCGGCGAATTCGATCGGTGTCACGAAATTTTGTTTACCAACTTCGTCGATAATATTGTCTGGACGGATAGTCGAAGTTCCTGATACGGCAAGTCCTTCTTCTTCTCCTCCATGAATAAGACTCGTATCGATCGAGCACCTGTATTTAAGACAAGCGGATTCTGTATCGTGATTTCGAAATATGTAATTGGGTTCTTCTCCTTTATCTCGCTGCTTGCTGCTTTGTCATTAGTCAAATAAAGCGGCTGACGGTGTGCCTCTGTGTGTGTATGTATGTGTGTGTTTGTGTGTGCGCCAGGCGTTGCGTTACGCTCGCTCCACGGCACTAACTTAAATATTAATTTGATCAACATGCCGGGCTAAGATACCTTACATTCAACACCGTTTGGGTCTCGGGTGTCGCGATTATTCGGATTGTCTAAAACGATCGGGCAACAAGCCAGATGACCGGTACCGTAGTGATCGTTTTAATTATTGATAGTTATGTAATAATTACTGATAATGTAATATGTAATGGCAAGAAGTTTTTGATAATATTATATAATTACTGATAATGTAATATGTAATGACAAAAAGTTTTTGATAATAATATTATTACTGATAATATAATGTATGACATAAAAGTTACTGATAATAATATATTTACTAATAATACAATATATGTAATATATAATGAGAAAAAATTGCTGATAATAATGTATCGTTCAGATTTTACTGAATAATAGTACTATTAAAAGTTACCGAAAATAAATGGTACGTTGGTAGACATCTTACTGATTTACCCAACATTCTAGTTTATGAACGTTTATTGTCCAGTTGATTCTACTGTTCCTAGAGAAATTGGTGTTCGTATAAAATTCATCAGTTTGAGAAATATTGACACAAAATACCTTTGTTCCTCGATGTACGTGTGATATTTAATAATTTTAAATATTTCTAGTATGAAATTAAATATTTCCAGTAAGAAACTCCCGAGTGTAAAGGGTGTCTTGCGCAATGCATCGACGCGTGAAACATTGAAACAACTTTGTCTCTGAATTTATGCCTTCGAATTAGCTTCAGCAAATTTAATTTCAAAAAGCAAACATCAGAAAATATACAAATATTTCTACTGAAAAAACTGGCGAGTGCACACGTTTAAAGCGACGAATGGTCGACCAAGGTTTAGTATAAGATATCTTCTGTCTACCGGTGAATATCGATCGATCGACTAATCGGTATTCCGTACCGTGTACGTCGCTCGACGAATTTTTAACGATCCGCGTTGAATAATTTCTCGCGCAATCTGCCGTGCTGTTTATTATTCATCAGAAACGGTCCTCCTCTCCTTTAGTTCAAATAGGCTGGCTGATGCGTGAATCAACGAGATAAAAGGCGCATCTACAATTGCGCGTTGACACGTTGATACTGGAGCGTACACGCAGAAACTTCGCGGCTGCGCGACGCGTGACTTTAGCGAATAATAACAATAACTCCACGGTTTATCGAGGATGAACGGACCACTTTATGTTCGAGACCGAAACGGACGTATAGATGTCGTTATACATCCTTCCTTTTTTTCGGGGACAACACTGGAGCAACTCGACACAAAAATTTCGAGAGGTTAACAATGATTTCATGGTGCGAAATACTTGAAATGGAAAAAAAAATATTATATCATTTGATTGAATTGCATTGTTATTATTGCAGGTTCGTCTGGCTAAATGTCACTACATTAGTTAGCATTATTTACAATATAGAAATGTTTTCGAATACTCGTGGTTTAATTGAGTGAACTATAGTAAATCGATTAGGTTGGAGGTCACCGGTGACCTTCATGGCATTCAACGTGTTAATGTTGCACTTAACCCGTTGCACTAGACAGGTGACTCTCAGTCACCACCTGATTTTAAACAGTGGAACTATAAAATTTCATATTCATTATTATTGCATAACTGAGCAATTCATCGCCAGATGATTTGATACAGGAAAATTATAAACTTTGGTATTTACCCCTTGACCTACGATTTCTTTCTCAACTATGATCGACACACCTACTTTTTTATTAAAAATTTATTGAAATAGGGCAAAAGTTCTAGGCATATTCAGTAACAGAAGAGTACTATTCAATTTGTATTCACAAAAATTAAGTAACACTTATGTTCGTTGAATTCTGTTTAAAATCTTCATTATTAACCTTTGTATATTGCGTCAATACGTAAAACATTGCAAGAAAATAGCTTTGGTATCTAATTTATGTATTTCTTGTTAAATTCATTTTAAAGAATCTTGTCTACATCTAATTAGAAAGTATAGAATACTTCAAGTGAAAAACTTCCCAGTGCAAAGGGTTAATTTGAAAATCAATATCAAATCAATAAAAGTATTCGTTTTTCCTTAGTTGTACTTTCTTTAATATTTTAAAATATAACATTTTTTAAAAATGTTTTCAGTAACATGAAACCATTTTCTTTGAATTTAAAAAGAAACTGCTAAGATAAGGAAATCGATAACAATGGGTTAAGCAAATTTCCATTGATAGTTATGCTAGATGTAATTAAGTGATTAAACGCATTTGTTTCCCTCTCGCTGCGTACACACTCGGTTCGTAGAATTACCAGAAACATCCGTTTTCAAAAGTTTTTTGAAACTTGTCTTATATTCCAAATATCATAGCTATGATAAATAGAACCCTCTGTCGGTAAACCAGGGGTTCTCAAATTAAAAGATAGAGAACACTATGCTCTAGGTATTTTTTAAAAAAACCCAGACTCAATCTACAG